TCAGTTATCCAACTACCGAGATATCTGAACTTGGGGACCTTTTTAATGTTCTTATTGTTAACTCTATTTAATTGCATATTTCGTGTTCTACTAACCACCATTACTTTCCTCTTGTCTATATTAATCTTCAAGACCAGTCGTTCTCCTTCAGTGTTTATTCTATCTATCAGTCGTTGTAGCGCTTCTTGGCTATCAGCTATTATGACTGTATCATTGTTAAAACCTCTATGTATATGTTGTCTGGGCCTGGTTCTTTTCCCCATTTGCCGTTTGAATGCCCTTATAACTTCTGACTTCAATATTTTGGGGGAGGGTCCACTTTTATATTTCCTTTCAGTGTTTCTTCTAGTGTTCTCTGAGTATAGTTGCTGTATGTAGTTTCTTCAATGTTGAAGTAGATCCAGGATCAGTAATTAATTTATTGTCCTTCACAATACTGTTAAAACTGCAAGGTTTTGTATGACCTGTCACTTCTTTAACGAGTTTATGTATGTTAACGTGGTCATGTTTTTCTTCCAATTCCTCCATTTCTGCACACCTGTTTAGTAGCCACTGTTCTTTAGCTTTGTGACACTCTTTTCGTATTTGTCAGTTAATCTGATGATGTTTGGTTCCGTCTTTGTTTTTAAATGAACTGGAGTCGTCCATAATTGATAATATTTTGTCAGTCATCTAATTATTCTTCTTTTATTTTTGGGAAGCAATCAGAGACTTGGTGGTGGTTACAATAGCTTTTTTAATATAATTCCATTTGTCTTCTATACTGGCCGATTGTTTAGATCTTGCCGTAATATCCGCTATTGCCTCATTTAATTTTTCTGTGCTATTGCTTCTTTTTCTATTATTTTTATTAAGCTTAATTTTAATTTTCCTACTACGGAATTGTGATCAGATTCGATATCTGTTTCAGGGTCCGTTTTTACTCCTTGCAATCCATTTCTGTATCTCTGATTAATCAATAAAAAATCAATTTGGAGACTGCCAGGTGTAGAGTCTCCGAGGTGGCAGTTTATTTATTTAGCGTATGGCAATTTGATACACAACATTATCACATATATGTTATAGTCTAACATCTAATGTATTAATATATTCAATCGACGCTGGTGTTGCAGAGGCGAAGTCTAGAGAATCTCCATAATACTTCCTCCGATGGCATTCGGCAATCATATGCTGGATGGTCTGTTTCTCGGCGCCGCAGTCGCACTCAGCAGAGGTTCTCATCCTCCATTTATAAAGGGAATCTGCGCAGACTCCATGACCCGTTCTTATCCTGTTAAGAGTTGACCATGATTTTCGGGGGAGGTCAAAACCTGATGGAGTTTCTGTGATGCATGGTGTGTTTCTCATTATTAGGTTCGGTCTGTCGCTCTGCATGTTCTTCCACTGGGAGTTCATTTGAAAATTGTTGGAACTCAAGTTTATTGCATCTCTAGTCGGAGGTTTTCTGGAGCGCAATCGATGTGAATTAGCGTCGGCGACATATGTGTGTATAGGTAATTGCGGGTTGTTAAGCAGCTTTTGGAATTCTCTAAGCAGAGCATGCTGACGACGAAGATTAGGTGGAGGTATATGGCTCAGTAGTGGAAGCCACTCCAAAGGTGTAGACTTGATCGTTCCAGATATGAGACGCATGGCGACATTGAGCTAGGTATCTATAATTTTTGTGTGAACGCTATTCAGCCAAACAGGAGAGCAGTATTCAGCTGCGGAGTATACGAGTCCAAGGGCTGAACACCGAAGTGTACCTGCTGATGAGCCTCATGTAGTCCCACAAAGCTTCTGGATGATGTTGTTACGGGTTCTCAGCTTTGCTGCGGTGTGCTCAAGATGTTTCTTAAAGGAGAGTGTTCTATCCAGGGTGACGCCGAGGTACTTGGGATTATAGTTGTGCGTGAGCAGTTGGTTATCAATGTATACTTTTAGTTTTGTGTGGGCCATTTTGTTGTTCAGGTGAAAACAGCTAACCTCGGTTTTTTTGGGGTTACGTTTAAGTCTTCATTGTTTAAAGTACTTAACCAGGCGTTCCAGATCTTCCGTTAGGATTACTTCGGAGTTTTGTATTAAGCAGCTTTGAGTTGCAAGTGCCCAGTCGTCTGCATATCCAAATTTTTTGGATCTGGTAGGGAGCACATCAGCTATATACATACTAAATAGTAGCGGTGCAAGTACGGAGCCCTGGGGGGCCATTATTAAGCGTTCTCTGTTTGCTCACTGTAGTTCCCATAGTTACACGGATGTTTCTACTGCTCAGCATAGTATTTATTAGTCGGGCGGTTGCTTTGCAGGGGATTATTTTAAGGAGCTTATAGATGAGGCCATCTTTCCAAATCGTGTCATAGGCAGCCGATAAATCGATGAATGCCACAGACGTCTTCAGTTTTCTTTGGTAACCTGCCTCTATGTAGGTAGTTATAGAGAGCACTTGGTCAGTGGTGGTTCGTTGAGGCCTGAATCCTGCTTGTTCAATTGCTATTTTTTGAAGTAGCTTTGGGCCGATTCTGTTCAGGGCCAGTCTTTCGAGGAGCTTGTAAGCTGCGCTGAGTAAAGCGATGGGGCGGTAACTCGCTGGGTTGTCTGTTGGTTTTCCAGGTTTCAGGATGGCTATGATTTTTGTTTGTTTAAAGAGGTTTGGTAGGTTACCTGTTTTGAGTATATCTGTATAGAATTTAGACAGCCAGGTTTTTGCAGATTTCCCACAATGGATCAGGAATTCGGGAGGTATACCGTCTGTACCAGGAGCTTTGTTAGGTTTAATGTCTTTGATGGCGTTTGAGACTTCTTCTGGAGTGAACGGTGCGGAGTTCTCTGTATCTGATGGACAGGCAGCTTTTAGATGTTTAAGCTCCCTTTTTATAGTAGTGGTAACTTTTTATCACATGCTCCTCAGGAGGTGGCAACTATATGTGATGCGATTTTATTAGGGTTGAAGTCGTGGATTTGTCGTGTTGCTAGTTTGTCACTTCCGAGTTTTCTTAGGAGCAACCACGCTTTACGGCTAGACTTTTTGAAATCTGACGATTCGACTTTATTTGTCCATTTCTTCCTTCTTGCTACATCAAGGCTCAGGAGAAGTTCGTCCGCAATGTCACTTTCACCGGTTTCAAGATATTCTTCGTAGAGGTTTTGGCTTTCCTCACTCCATCCTGGTATGTTGTATCCGAGGTGGCAGTTTGTACCAGGTATTCGCAATGACTAAGTTTTCTTCTTGATAGAACTGGATTAGCATATCACCTCTCTCGTTTCGATCTCCCAAACCAAAGTCACCCACGACATCTTCAAGACGTCCTCGCCCTACCTTCGCATTGAAATCTCCCATAATTATAAGAGTGTGCTTCTTCTTGATCAGTTTCATTAACTTAATCTCTCTATATATTTGTTTTACTTCACTTTCAGGCTTGTCCAAGGTTGGTGTATAGATTTGTATAATGTTAAGGTCAACAGGAACAGGTTTCTTACTGATTTGTTTGAGGCTGTGTTAACTACAAATGCAACTCCATTATAATGACGGGGTAGGCTATTTCTTGAGTAATATAGTGTCGCTTTTTCTTTAGTACATTTACCATTGCTAGGCCACCTGATTTCGCTAAGTCCTATGATGTCTAGGTCCATTTCTTGTATTATGTTATCTAGTTTACCGGCGGTATAAAGACTCTTAACGTTCCAAGTACCCAGTTTTCGCTTTGGGGTTTTTTCCACTTTCGAATGGTTCCTAGCATTGTTTTTTTTTCGCTTAGATTCTTAGCACCCCTTGGCCACTTAGCCTGTTTGAGACAAACAGTTCTCTCCTCCTCAACCTATTCTACAATAGATATTTCAAACACATACCAAAAATAGATTACTTGAGAAAGGCACTTTGCCAAAACAGCTGTAGTGATAAGATCTTATAATAAATTTTGTGGAATTATAGTTTATTCGTCTTCCGGGTTTGGACCGTGTCATTTGTGAGTGACCCAAAAGTGGGTCCATCTCGACGTTTCGCTACAATTGTATGTAGCTTCTTCAGGAGAACAAAGAAAAAAGAAAGAAACAGAAAGAAATCAAAAGACAGGAAGATGGGTAGTTAGCAACGGTAACTCAGTTACTCACAGCAACCAGAGGCGAATACTAACTACCAAGATGGGCATTTGGTCACAGTAACTCAACTACTTAACGCAGCCAGAGGTGAAATAAAATGCCTGGACAGGGATTCACGTCCAACAGCTCAGAACACTAACGCGTCGATAGGCGTCGAGTGAATCCGAATCCCGCCTCTCGACGCGTTAGTGTTCTAAGCTGTTGGACGTGAATCTCTGTCCTGGCATTTTATTTTCACCTCTGGCTGCGTTAAGTAGTTGAGTTACTGTGACCAAATGCCCATCTTGGTAGTTAGTATTCGCCTCTGGTTGCGTTGAGTAACTGAGTTACCGTTGCTAACTACCCATCTTCCTGTCTTTTGATTTCTTTTTCTTTGTTCTCCTGAAGAAGCTACATACAATTGTAGCGAAACGTCGAGATGAACCCACTTTTGGGTCACTCACAAATGACACGGTCCAAACCCGGAAGACGAATAAACTATAATTCTGACTCTGGCCGTGGAAGCCTACGATTTCAATTTTGTGGAAGTTTTAAAAACAAAGTTTTCAGAGTTTTATTGTTATATAAAATATAATGTTGTAATATTGTCCATCAAGTGGTCGAATATATTACTTAGATACATTAAAAATTTCTTTTAAATCAATATATTGGAATATAACTATTATAAACATTGTTGGTCTCATTGGGGAGCAGCCCATTGAAAATAAATAATTAAATGTGTATATAGCTACTTTGCCAGGATTTATATGCTCTGACTAGCGATTAATAATTTTGTACGGCTGGAATACATGAAAAATCGAAATTTAACAAGGAAACGGTAAATCAAGTAACATAATAATGTAAACAATTAATTAAGATCAATATTATACCGATTACCTAGCCATTTTCGCCAATGTTATATAAATACCATTACATTGGAGACAATTGCAGTCAGCATAGGTGTTTGTTCTCATAACTATCTCCGTTTTCGGTCTAGTAAGTAATTCATAATTTATATATATATATATATATATATATTGTTATGATGTTTTGTTTGTATATGAGCACTGAGTGTTTAAAATAAAATATATGAGTATAGGGTTTTTATTGCGGTTCTCAAAGAATTAGTTTGTAATTACTTTTTTAAATTATCTTTATTATAACTAGTATGAAACAGACATATATATATATATATATATATATATATATATATATATATAATATATATATATATATATATATATATATATATATATATAATATAAACAATATAAATTTAAAACAACCTATCTAAAATTTGAAATTCTTACAATTATTAAATTATATTAACAAAATTTGGTACCTTTCTATCACGGAATGCCTAAAGTTTTCCAAAATCCAAGTTATAATCACCACTAAATATCTTCTTAATCAGCCTCGGTTATCCTTGTATTTGTGAAATTGCTTTCATATAGATATTATAATTTAATATTCTTGTAATCTCCATATAATATATTTTCAAATATACTGTATACTATATTCTTGTACTATTGACTGCTTAACTTCTTAATGAATTAACTCCATACTGTCACTGTATTACTGTACTAATAATTAAACTATCACTGTATTAAACTATCTAAATTGAATTAATTTACTCTCATACTCTCCAACTGTATCTGACTTAAGGAATTCTTCCAAGTTAATCCTTTCTTCTAACTTAATTTAATTATAACTGTCTTGAATTAACTTTCTTGATGAATCTAATTTAATGACTTGATTGTAACTGACTGACTGACTTCATCTCACATAATTGTAACTGACTAACTGACTTCATCCAACTTAATAATTGACTGTAACTGACCAATTTCCAATCTAATTTTATATTAGATAGTCATAACTAAGACTAAACTAGCTGAGCTGATACATAAAAGGACACATAAAAGACAAAAAAGGAGTACTACTAGTAGATTTACCAGAGAAGTTAAAGCGATGGGAGGAGTACGTTAAAGAACTTTTCCAAGATGAAAGAGGTGAAATGCAGAAAATACAAGAATTAAATCCTTTAGAGATACAGAAGATCACGATAGATGAAATCAAATATGCTATCAAAAACTCTAAAGACAATAAGGCAGCTGGATTAGATGAAATACCAGTAGAACTCTTAAAACTAGTGGAAGAGGACAACTTGGAAGTATTGGCAGATTTATTCAACACGGTGTACGATACGGGAATAATACCACAGGAGTGGCTAAAGTCAGCATTTATAACCATCCCTAAAAAACAAGCAGCAAAAGAGTGCTCTGATTATCGAACACTGAGCCTCATGAGTCATACTTTAAAAGTTCTGCTAAAAATAATACATAAGAGAATATACGAAAGGCTAGAGGAGGATATTAGCGAGACGCAGTTCGGGTTCCGAAATGGAATGGGTACTCGAGAAGGACTATTTGCCATCAACATATTAATTCAGCGATGTCGGGATGTGAATGTTGATCTACACTTGTGCTTCGTTGACTACGAAAAAGCTTTCGATAAGGTAAGACATGAAAAACTAATATCAATACTTATGAACAAGCGCATTGACAGTAAAATCATAAATATAGTGCAAACATTATATTGGAACCAAAGTGCCATAGTTCAAATTGATGGGCAACACTCAGAAGAAATGAAGATCTGTAGAGGAGTTAGACAGGGATGTGTGTTATCACCACTTTTGTTTAACTTATATTCTGAAGAAATTTTCCAAAACACGCTCAATAATATCGAAGCGGGAGTCACCGTTAACGGAAAATTAATTAATAATTTAAGATATGCAGACGACACTGTGATCATAGCAACGAGTATAGAGGATCTACAACATCTTATCGAAAGCTTGAGTATAAATAGTGCTGAGATGGGAATTACTATAAACGCCAAAAAAACGAAGTACATGCTGATTACAAAAAGGCCACAAAATATACATCACCTATTGACAATAAATGGTAACGTGATAGAACAAGTAGAAAAATATCAGTATTTGGGAACTTTGATCAATGAAACCAATGATCATACTGTAGAAATAAACAGACGAATAGAGATTGCCGGATCAGCATTTATACGAATGAAGCCACTCCTAACGTGCAAAAATCTAAATTTGGAGATCAGACTACGTACCATTCGCTGTTATATATTTTCAATATTATTATATGGAGCTGAGACTTGGACATTAAAAAAATGTAATTTAAAAAGAATCGAGGCCTTCGAACTCTGGTTATACCGCAGAGTATTGAAAATATCATGGACTGATAGAATTACAAATAAAGAAGTACTGGAGAGGGTTGGTAAAGAAACAGAACTAATCACCACTATACAAACCAGAAAACTGGAATACCTAGGCCATGTGATGAGGGGACCAAAATATGAAATTTTGAGACTGATAATACAGGGAAAGATTCAAGGAAGAAGATCTGTTGGCCGAAGGCAGAACTCATGGTTAAAGAATCTACGTGATTGGTACCAATGCAGATCGATTGATTTGTTTAGAGCAGCAAGTTCTAAAATAAAAATAGCCATTATGATTGCCAACCTCCGTAGGGAGACGGCACTCTAAGAAGAAGAAGCTGAGCCACTTAGAAATAATGCCAGATATTTGAGCTGTAAAAGTAATGGAGAGATGAAAACTCCAAACAAATAGACAAGAGGAAGGCCCCCTAAAAGGTGAATAGGCGATATAGAGGAATTTCTTAAAACCATGAACATCAGGCAGTGGCAAAGGAAAGTATCCGACAGGACAGAATGGAAGAACGTTGTTAAGCAGGTCAAGACACACTAAGGGTTGTAGCGTCATTAGAAGAGGAAGAAAAAGACCGTGTAGTGTAAAAGATAGTTGCGTTTTTTTATCATATCAATAGTCTTCGTCTTTAGGTACCATCTCCTCTAAGGAGGTTGGTAATCATCATAGCTATTTTCACTTTTGAGATTACAGCTCTGAGGAACTGCAATTATACCACTTTATCAGATTGTTGAGCCAGGAGATGCGTTTTCTTCAATACTTCGTTTTTCCTGTATTTTTCCCTGCATTATGGTTTGTAGCAACACATATTTATCCCCTCTCATAACGTGGCCGAGATACTGTAACTTTCTTATCTTATTCGTATTCATGATTTCCATTTCCTTTGTCATCTTTCTGAAGACTTCAACATTTGTTGTTCGGTCTATCCAACTTATATTTAATACTCTTCGGTAGGTCCACATCTCGAATGCTTCAAGTCGATCGCTCACCTCTTTCTTTAAGGTCCAGCCCTCCACCCCATACAGCAGCACCGAAAACACATAATAACGTAATATTCTTATTTTGAGTTGTAAACTAATGTCTCTACTGCATAATACTTTTCTCATTTTATTAAATGTGGCTCTAGCTTGTCCAATTCTCATTTTTATTTCTTCTGTATACTTGTTATTTTCATTAATAATTGTACCAAGATATCTGTATTTTTTTTTACTTTTTCTATTGGAACTCCTCTTATGTTTAAACTGTCTTGTTGTTGTGTTTTGGAAATTTTGTTTAATTTTGTCATAATTTTTTTTTATTAGCATTAAGCGTTAGTCCGCTTTCCTTACTAGCATTTACTACGGTATCTAAAAGTGTCTGTAGGTCTTGTATATTCTCTGCAAGAGTAACAAGAAATGAATCTTGTTACATTTTCGAGTGATTTTTTAATTATTTCTTCCGAATATAGATTGAACAATAAGGGGGAGAGTATGCAACCTTGCCTTACGTCTCTTTTTATCTCTACTTCCTCCGAAAGTTCTCTGTCGACTCTGACTTTTGCTGTTTAGTTAAAGTAGAGATGAGTTATTATTCTTAAGTCTTTTTTGTCAATGTGTTTCTCTTTAAGTAACTGTATAAGACGGTTGTGTCGGACCTTATCGAACGCCTTATTATAATCAATAAAACAAACATAGAGTGGTTGGTTTACATCCATACATCTTTGCATGAGGACGTTAAATCCAAATAATGCCTCTCGTGTACACATGGCGTTCCTAAATCCAAATTGGGTTTCAGTGATGTCTTGTTCCACTTTTCTGAAAATTCTTAAATGGATAATGTTTAAGAATATTTTTAGTGTGTGACTCATTAGACTAATTATACGGTGATCATTACATTCCCTTGCATTAGGTTTTTCTGGTAATGTAATAAATGTTGATTTGAGCCAATCTCTCGGAATAAAACCCATATTATATATAGTATTATATAAGTCTACTAATAGATATTAATTTAATTATTTCAGTTGGAATTGTGTCAGGTCCCGCAGTTTTATTAGATTTTGCCAGATTTATTGCATGTATTATTTCATCCTTAATTATATTTGGACCTATATCATGTTCCACGCAATCGTTCATGCTATCTTGTTGTGTCCTGTCATCCGCAAACAATTCTTAGACGTATTCTTTCCATCTGTTTAGTTTGCCTTTTACATCAGATATTATTTTACCATTCGTATCAACCAGGGTGTTACTATTGTTGGACCGTCTTATACCTGCTAATTCTTTAATTTTTTTGTGCACTTCAAACCTATCATGATTTCTCTGGAGTTCTTCTATCTCTAAACATTTGTCGTTGTACCACTTTTCTTTAGCTGCCCGTATTTTTATCCTGCTCTCCTTGTGCGTGGCTTTGTATTCGTTTACATTTTTGTTTTTGTATGATCTTCTTTTGTCCATTAGCTGCCGGATCTCATCTGTCATCCATGGAGTCTTAGCTTCATCGATTTTGTGACTACTCATCGTATTTTTAATTGGCATCATTAATGTAACACATATCAATAGTAACGCTCTAGAAAAATTTTATGAGATTTTATGTCAAAAAATTAATTTTTGTTCAAACGATTTAAAGAAGGTTTTTGGAATTTTTAAAATGCGAAGAAATCCACAAACCAAAGTACTGCAAAATAACAATATCTTATTCTGTCATGCAACATTTGTAGCTGCCTGCACTGTAGTAAAATGTTTTATGATTTTAAATTAAATTCCAGAAATGCCCAGAAAAAGTTTAACAGCAAAAGAGGCTTTACTGCTTTTATTCGACCGACCTAGAGAACCTATAGACCTACCAAAGGGCCCGGACGGCGTCATATTCAAGGTTCCTAAAGAGTATTTGGTAAGTGCTAATAAATCATTTTTTTTAATATATTTATTTCTTTATTTTTATGATTTTTAAAAAAATCAACTTTAGAAGCTATTTTTTCAATAATTAAGCAACAAATTAACAAAAGTAACTTAACTTTGCTTAACTAAGCAAAAGTTGCCACAGCAAAAATGACCAAAATATGGAAGGACTGTCAAATTTCAAGAGCGATAAAGATGAGGTTGATCAACTGCTTAATATTCCCAATACTGACCTACGAATGTGAATCTTGGACTCTGAGACAATCGGAGAGAAGAAAGATAGACGCCACTGAAATGTTCTGTTGGAGACGAATGCTACGAATTCCTTGGACCGACCGTTAGAACAAATAATTCAATTTTAAGAGAGATAAAAGTTAGCCAACGACTCTCTAGTAAAGTCCATCTCCAACAATTAAAATATTTTGGGCATGTTATGAGAGCAAACACAGAAAATATGGAAAGACTCATAATACAAGGAAAGGTAGAAGGCCGAAGATCGCGAGGAAGATCCACAACAAGATAGATAGATCAAAATACAGGAATATGCCAAAGATCTATGCATGAATTAAAAGAAATGACCAGAGACAGAGATCCTGGAGACGGACAATACACGACATCACGTCGACCACTACACCCCCTGGGGGGTCAGGATTGAAGAGAGAGAGAACTTAACTTTAACGGATTTTCAATGTTTTTTTCTGTAAAATTGTGTCACCTTTAGTATTTAAAATCAAATAGATATATTACATAGTTTATATATTAATGAAGCTTAAGTATAAGTAAAAAATGACGTTTAATCTTTTGTATATTTGCAGAGAGTGTCATGAAAAAGGCTTTTCATTTACTTCTCTGGTTTTTAACCTCAAGGCATTTTATTTTTGAGAAAATACAGTGACTCACAGCTTAAATGATGCAGTAGTTACTTAATAAAACTTTGGACATAGGCCTACCCCAAATCACTCCAGTGCCTTCTATTTTGCGCCACTTGCTTCCAATTGTGTCCTTCGATCTTCTTAATATCATCCGCCCATCTCATTTGTGGTCTTCCCCTGCTTCTCTTTCCCACGATACACTAACACCGGTATGCTAGATCAAAATTCTAAACGTGTCGGCTTGGCCACAGAATAATAAACAATCAGAAGGGCCACTCTCAGATGCCGCCTTTGAAGTTTTTCAGCACGCCCGCCATGTTTTAGGAGGACACAGACATATGATTTGTGTGGTTATGTAATTGTTTATATTTATGTTTAATTATATTATATTTATGTTATTATATTTAACAATGTTAATATAATTGTATAGTATGTCTATGACTGCCGTAAGTCAAATAAACCTGGTTAATTTTTCCATGCACACCACATAAACAACACTAATTTCTTTAAAATCCTCCTAAAACATGGCGAAACGTCTGCGCGGAGGAGATGCGCGTACTTAATGCGATGCAGTGGGTATTCTGTTTGTTTATTATTCTGTGGCTTGGCGCAGTGACGTCACGGCGAAGCAAGAATACCGCGCGAAGCACATTAGATAGCTATTCGTGGCTTTTCTTAACGTTTAAATAATTAATTCGCCGGCGATTTATTTAAAATTAACGTTTGTATATAAAACCAAATAATTATAGTTATGCCTGGGTGTGCCGTTTTTGGATGTGGCAATTATAATTGAAAACAAAAGGGACTGGCATACGTTACTTTCGATTCCCATCAAAAAACGAAGTCGTCTTAAAAAAATGGATGATTGCATACCGACGTCAAGATAAAATATATTTAAAAAATGGTAAATATCTCTTTATATATCTCCCAAAATTCAAATTTGTTGAAGAAAATAAACGATATTAATGTAAGATACAGATTGAACAAATTTAAAACGGATCATACAATTTAATAATATGTCTGTTTGAACTGCATTTGAAATAGTGGACCAACATAAAACTTTTACAAAAATAAATCCATACCTGGGACATTGTATAAAATATGGTTCAACTATCTGTCTCGCCAGAATGTTTGCGTAAAGGAAGCGATTAGTTCAGGAAATGAAGCTCGAAAAAAGTTAAAACTTCGCAATTTTTTCGTCCTGCATGGATTGAGTTTAAAGTTTAACAGAAGGTAGGTGATAGCCCAAGGATCAAAATCTATATCGAACCGAAGTGCGCTAAAAAGTTTTAGGGGTGAAAACTACCCCTAATTGTCAAAAATTATAAAATAACATATTAAACCTGAATATGGGTAAAATTTGGTTTGAATTAATTAAATAATGATAGTTTCGTGCTTTTGAATAAAGTTTCATCATATTTCAACCCTTAAAAAGCGACCCTTGTTAGAGATTAATGTAAAAAAAGTAGTAATGCGAAGAAAATGATTTCGCCTTGGAACGATTTGCATAAAAATTTGGAATTAAGCTCAACTCACCCTCTGCTATATAGTTTATGTCATGCCGATGAACCCTGATTGTTCTTAGGGGTGAAAACTACCGCTAATTTTCAAAAATTGTAAAATAACATTACAAATCTTAAGATGAGTGAAATTTGGTGTGGATTAGTTAAATAGTGATTTTTTTATACTTTAAAATACAATTTCATACATTTTCAACCCTTAAAAATCAATTGTTATGAGTGCTATAGGTGAAAACAATTTTTTGCCAAAATTTTGCAACTTTTCAACTTTTGAAAATCACCCTTTACAACATTGCAGTTTTTATAAACTAATTTAATAGACATAAATGTAAAAAAGTAGAATTAAATACAAAAAAAATTATTAACATAAAAAGGCACCATATATTCTTATACATTTACATAAATAGTTGAAAATATTTACATTTATAGGTAAAACAATTATAATTAATTTTATTCGTCATCAATTACATCTTCATCGTGATCTATGTCATCCTCATCTTCTTCAATTATTGGTGGACTATTATTGCACCCTTCACCTGAGCACCCAGAACAAGTAGAGTTACAGTATAAACCAACTTTTCTGCACCCACATGAAAAGCCGCATCCTTTTTTGCATTGGCAAAAAATAATTTTTAAAAGTTCATTGGGTGCAGGTTGTTTGTTCATGCGTATGGGTAATAACAAATTATCTTTGGAATACCATCCCCAATCTGTTGCTCTGATATTTTCATTGCCAAGCCATAGACATATGAGCAGATGTTTTATTCTGTTGTATGGGATTTCAAAATAAGAACGCTTAAAATTTCGAATGTATAACGCCCCACTACCTAATATACCGGTTTTGTAGATTATTATGCTTCGAAATGTACTGTACTATACTAATGGAATTTTCCGGAAAAAAAAATTAATTGGTTTTTTTAACGTATTTCCTTCATTTTTAACGATAGAGTGTTTCTTCAAAAAACGATTTTGTAGAGGTTTTTAAGAGCTACAAGGATCTGTAAATTAAATCTTTTTGGAACCCTTGGTTTTTAAATGGGGTGAGTTTAAAGGGCTCGAAAAAGATGGTGCTTGATCGTAAATCGATGCTTTAAACGGCTATATCTCGCCAAATATTCATTGTACAACAAATCTAAATAAAGGAAAGTTTTAGTCATTAAAAAAGCTACAATTTAGTACATTTTTATTTTTTTCATATATTCAGTATTTTCGGGATATTTAAAAAAAGAAGGGTAAAAAATATGAAATTGTAAATCGTTTCTCGCTTTATGCTGTACTTTTTCTAAAACTAAGCATTTTAAATGGGTCAAACTTCTTGGACGTATTAACAATACATGTACAAAGAGAATTGCAGAAGGGTGAAGATCGATTTTAATTATGGAGGTGGTTAGGGGTTGTTTTCATCGATTTTTTCGTAGATAGAAATGGGTATTGACCTTATTTTCATCATAACTCACTCAATTTTTGAGCTAGAGTCTTTTTTTATGATAGGTCTATTTATGCTCTTTAAAAAAGGTTGTGTGAGTTTTCTTCCAAAAATGCATCATTTTCCCGATATTTGAACTTTGAATCTTTCAAATTTGGCATTTGAAGAAAACCGCTGAACATTGATAGGCCGTATTTCGGTTCCTGTTATATCGCAAAAACATTTTAAAAAATGAATTGTATTTGTCTTTTTAAAAGCTACAAATTTGTTCTCTACAATTTTTTTGATAAAATGCACCATTTTCGAGTTATTCGCGAAAAATCGATTAAAAACGTCGATTTTTTCGTCTAAAAGTTGTTACTTTCAATCGCGAATAACTTGAAAAATGTCAGTTTTACAAAAAAAATGTATAGAACATTTTTTGTTTAGAATCACTTTTTTAATCGAAACCTGTAGTTAAAACGTAAAAAAAATTTTTCACCCCCGAGATGGGGTGGCAACCACCCTAAGGCTTTGGCGCACTTTGGTTCGATATAGATTTTGATCCTTGGCTATTACCTACCTTCTGTTAAAATTTCAAGTCAATCCACGCAGGACGAAAAAATTGCGAGGTGAAATGCTTCATTTCCTGGACTATAAGTGGTTTGACAGCATAATAAAATCGTAGATTTATGTGTAGCTTTCAATTTTTATGATTTCAGAATCCAGCAGCCCGCTGAAGTATTGGATTTTTATAATATAATTATTTGACAACCTTTTGTTGGTCAACCACCTACAGCAGAATTGAGCCGAAATACATAATATTTCGTATGTTCCGAATTTATTTCGTTCAATCTGTATGTATCCGATGAATAGATATTCATTTATTTTATACCTCATTTTATATAAATATTATTTATTTTTAGTTTTTTGGAAAATAAAAAAATTGTAATATATTATAAACTAATTTTTTTCTATTTATGTCCATATCTAAGTTAAGTACCTATTTAAGGATTTTATTTTTATCAAAAGGGGTGCTTGTAAGGGTTGAAAAAAGCAGGCTCCTTTTATAAGTAAAAAATTAATTTTTGTCTACAAACAGTGCACTCTAAAAATGTTTCAAATCGTTAAAAACATGTTTTAATTCATTTTTGACAAAGGGGGTGGTTGTGAGAGTTGAAATGTTGAAATTAAAATAAAAAGTTATTTTATATGCAAAAAATTAATTTTCGTTAAATAAAATGCCGTCAAGAAGTGTTTCAAACCGATAAAAATATTTTTTAATTCATGTTTGTCATAAGGGTGGTTGTAAGGGTTGAAAATTTCCAATAAATAAAATATTATTGTATAGCTAGGGTATTCATTTTTATTTTTATTTAAATACATAATTGAAATGTCTCAAGCTGCTACGACTTTTTTTTTCATATTATTTTTATAAAAAGTATTAGCTTTTAAGGGTTTTTAAAGGGTTTTAAGGGTTGAAAATTGTGAATAATTAATTTTCATATTAGAGAACACATTGCAATATTTACCTTATGCGAATGAACAAGATATAAGTGCATAAAATAATTAAATCCGTGTTTTTTTCAGTTTCTTCAATAAGGGGCAGTTTTCACCCTTTAAAAACAAAAAGCGCACCTAGAGCGTATACAACTTTATATACAAATTTTGTTATTATATTTGTTATATAAAAAACATTTTTTAATTAATTTTTGACAAAGGGGGTGGTTGTGAGAGTTGAAATGTTGATATTAAAATAAAAAGTTATTTTATATGCAAAAAATTAATTTTCGTTAAATAAAATGCCGTCAAGAAATGTTTCAAACCGATAAAAATATTTTTTTATTAATTTTTGTCATAAGGGTGGTAGTAAGGGTTGACAATTTTCAATAAATAAAATATAATTGTATAGCTAGGGTATTAATTTTTATTTGTATACATAATTGAAATGTCTCAAGCTGCTACGACTTTTTTTTCATATTATTTTTATAAAAAGTATTAGCTTTTAAGGGTTTTAAGGGTTGAAAATTGTAAATAATTAATTTTCATATTAGAGAACACATTACAATATTTACCTTATGCGAATAAACAAGATATAAGTGCATAAAATAATTAAATCCGTGTTTTTCCAGTTTCTTCAATAAGGGGTAGTTTTCACCCTTTAAAAACAAAAAGCGCACCTAGAGCGTATACAACTTTTGAAGTGGAGGGTAAGATAAGCTTAATTTGAAATTTTCAAAGAAATCGATGCAGTTATAAAAAATTCGGAGGTATTACCATATTTTAAGCCTCAGTAACTGAAGTATGAGTAGCGGCTGCATCATTTAAGCTGTGAGACGGATTATAAACAAATTACTTAATTTAACACAATAATTGTTTCTAGTTTTGGTTTAAAAAAGGTATTTTTAAGGTATTCATTTAGAAAAAGTCATAAATATCCCTTTTCCAGAGAGAGGAATACCAACATATTAAAAGAGAACCCGAAAAAACAGTTACGACCAGAAGTGAATTTGTTGGTGAGGTTAGCGATATAAGTGTACCGTTGATCACTTTGCCTTCATTAGGTGAAATCACCGATTTAAGGAGGGATGAAAATTTCTCGTTATTTATTCCAAAACATAGAAGGCTTGCTGGATTACTTATTCAATTATTTATAGGTAAGTATGAATGACGTATTCGACTGTACAATAATTTTTTTTTAAATAATTCTGAAAATATTTTCTTGTGGCGGTCTTCCTTTACTTGTCTTGTGAAATAGTGTCAGTAGTTGAGTGAAAGAGAGAAAAACAAGGATAAGATGGGCAGGGCTGTGTGGTAGAGGACTGGAGAGATAAACGTTAAAATGAAGAAAACAATGAACAGAAACATTATATAAGAGCATAAGAGGGATATTTCAGTATGAGGGTCTGTGGAATGTAAACCAGCTGTTTTAAAACCATATTAGCCCAAGCAGTGAGTAAACAAAGGTCGATTTCATGCACCACATAGTACATTTTTGAAACCTACTCTGTGTTGTAAAGGGCGATATCAGGAACAACACTGCAGTCCATGCAATAGCAAAGCACCCCGCACAAAGTTTATGGAAAAGTGCTCTCAATGCTCTTTAATAGTTTTAAAGATATTAAAAGAGAAATTAAAATGACATTAAAAAACAGCAAAAATGGTAAAGTATTAGGTCCAGATGAAATCCCTATAGAAATCTTAAAATGCATGAATGATGAAACCTTAGACTTTATAGTAGACTTATTTAACTCAGTATACAAAACAGGACATGTACCGAAACAATGGTTACTCTCCACTTTTCGTGCTATCCCTAAAAATACAAACGCTAAATATTGCAGTGAATACAGAACAATATCACTGATGAGTCACATTCTCAAATTATTCCTAAAATAATACATGGTCGTATAAATAAAAAACTGGAAGAAGGAGTAGTTGATAGTCAGTTTGGGTTCAAAAACGGACTATAGAAAATGTCACAGCGAGAGTGCAGTACGGCTAATATAGGAATGCGATACAAACAGGTCCAAGTGGTAGTCACAGAACCGTACCCAGATCTCTACGCCGGGCTCTGTTATTTATTATAAAATAATATATTGATAAAATAATTGACTTCAAGTAGTCAAATAAGAGGCATGAATTTAAATAAAAAGACATGAAGTTTTTTAGCGAGAATTTTATTATAAAACTGTATTCTTTATTAAACTAACAAATGTATTTTAAATTACATTTCTTGATGGCTATAAATATACCGGGTGGAACCTCCGGTAACTCGATTTCCGTGCACCCAGCCCAATATCCAAGAAAAACTTTTTCTTTTGTAAATATGTGAAACATTATCAGGAACGGGAATATCGAAAAAGCTTTGTACATTTTTTAATCCCGGCGATGTTATTAAAAAAACAAGTTGCGCACTTGAATCACTGCGAAATTTTAACACCAACTATGAAATTTTTTTTGTGGAAATCTGAAGTGCAATTTTTGTCCTTGTTCAAACATAATGCAGTCTCGCATTTTTTACACAGAACATATGTTTACCTAGTTCCTTGGCATAGCAACCTGATAGTTTTCAGCGAAACCTTGTGTTATTCCATATGGGATAATGGTTTTCCTTGCCCACACTTGATCAGATGAGCAGGTATAAGGTTTATAGTGTAAGTTATTTAACATTATATTATATTTATATTTATAAAACTAACAAATATATTTTAAAATACATTTCTTGATAGCTATAAATATACAGGGTGGAACCTCTGGGAACTCGATTTCCGTGCACCCAGCCCAATATCAGAAAAGCCCATACTCTACATCCGAGATGTCGGATTCGCTTTCGCTACTCTCCCCTGTGTTCGCGTGTATTATCAATTGGTCTACGTCATCTTGCAGGTTGTCCGCAGTCCACATTTCAGTTTCCGTTTTCTCAACAATATGAGTGACATAATTGCGCCAATTTTGCTCTGTGACGCGTGCGAAACCGTCGTCGATCAACTGGCGTACCTCGTCGTTTTTAAAAATGGTATTATCGGTACCTACATATCGCTTAACTTGGTTCCACACCATTTCTATAGGATTCAATTGGCAGTGATATTGAGGAAGCCTTAAAATATAAACATTATGTTGTGAAGCATACTTATCAAGATGATACTTATCGTATTGATCTTTAAAAGCACGCGCTGCTTCTAATAGCTCGGATTTCAAATAACACTCCTCGAAAAAAATGTCTTTTTCCACTAGCCATTCCTTGATTGCAGCTTTATTCCAGGAATTGTTAGGGAATATCTCTTTACGGGAGTGGTACGATGCATTGTCCATTACAATGACATTCCTGCGACCATTATTTGGTAAATTTGATATTAATGTCTCCTTAAACCACGACTTAAAATATGCGGCATCCATTTCATCGTGATAGTCTCCATAATTTTTCTTTGCCAGAAAAATACGCTGTGTGTCAGAAAGGAAACCTCCTAAAAAACCTGCATGCAATAAAACATATCGTGGACCTCGTTTAGTAGGTGCTTTTACGTTTTTAGGTTTTAAGCCAGTACTTAAACCATTGAGAAAAGCATCACGACTGTTTTGTATCGTAGTATCGCATCATTCGTAATTTATAGATTGGCCAACATTAACCCACGATTCGTCCAAATATGATATTGTAATGGTCTTTTCGCAAACGTCGTATAGTTCTCAAATAATTATGGAGCCAATGAATAATACCATTTTTTGGTTTTTGATAGTATATGAGAGTTTTCCGAATGCAGCTCACCTCATTCTTATTCTTCTGGTTATTTTTTTTAGTCTGGTTACTTTTGTCTGCTATGATAGCTTGTCCTAAGTAAATATATTCTTGGACGTGTTCTATCTTTGTTCGACCTATGGTAATTACTAATCTGTCTTTTGTATTAGTCATTATTTTAGTTTTCTTTAGATTCATTTTTAGTCCTTTCTCAAGAGATGTTTTTCCTAGGTCTGAAATCATTGTTCGTAGTTGTTCCATAATTGTCGCTATCAGGAGTACATCATCGGCGAATCTTAGATAATTTAAATACTTCCCGTTTATACAAATCCCTATATTGTCTCAGTATATAGACTTAAAAATGTCTTCCAACGCCAGAGCAAATAGGCGAGATTGTATCCCCTTGTCTGACACCTCTACAAATTTGTTGTACTTACATCTTTTATATTGATTATTTTTAGGAATGAAAAATACTAACGACCTACTTTCTATGGCTACATACGCTAGAGAATATGTAAATCCTGTGCTTTTCACCTATGCACTTTCTGTAGCTTTATTACATCGATCTGATACCAAAGATTTAGATTTACCGTCAGCATTATTTTCGTTCCCTGACATGTACGTGGATCACAAAACTTTTTCTGTAGTGAGAGAAGTTGCTTCGGCTGTTACAGAAAAGGAGAGGGTAAGTTATACGTTTTATATAATTTTATTTATTTTTGTATAAATTGTGTAAATTGTAAATTTGGAAAGAAGTCGTTGTATGAAAAATACATGTATACAACTGCAATAATTGTTGGACAAATTATCCTTTTTTCTATTTACTAACTAATAATAACTTGCCTATCACATTAATTTATGCTTTTTATTATATTATATACACATTTGTACACCGACAGTGTTGTTCCGTCTATCGATATTTTCCTGAAACTTCGTTTGGAATATTCGTAATTCTGTATTTTTCTGTAGATAATAATGTTTTATTAACAACAATTTTGTTTGTGTTCTTGGATCAAATATTTGCTGTCTTTTCACTTTATTCGGATCTACTCTGTACGAGTACTAGAAACCAATTCGCTAAGGATTTCTGCTTAGTCGAAAAGACATGTCGTGGAATGCAAATTTCAGATTCCCCACGTCTCTTTTAACACCTTTATCAACGTCTATTTTGCTTTGCAATTTTTAGAAAGCACAGATTAAAGCGGAAATATGAATTGTGTTTCGAAACTATTTTACGGTTTCATAATATTAAGGTTTTAAATTTATTCTTTTTATTAAGTTAAATACTAAATTTTGTAAGGTTGGCAAAATATTAAATAAATATAGTAAAAATAAACAAACACCGAAGGGCGCCTATATTAGTTTTGAGGGGGCACTTTATAACCTAGCCGTGAAACTGGGCATTCCACATATTTATCGCTCCCAAATGTTTTGTTGATCTATCTGTAGCGGAGCATTTTCGTGAGGTTATCAGCTAAATATAAAAAAAAAAACGGATGTGGCAGTCCGGTGGGACTGCTGGTAGAAGTTATAATTCTATACACGCGTTCGCCGTTACAAATTTATATGGAAGTCAATCTGCACAATCTTTACATATGTAATGCTATAGGTAAGAGAGAGAGAGAGAGAGAGAGAGAGAGAGAGAGAGAGAGAGAGCAGAAAGAGAAAAAGAATTAGGTATATAGGTATATGGTGCATCGTATGCTGTATATAAACATTTGATCTGTAATAGGAGTATAGTAATGAAGGATTGAATCAAAATTTTAATGAAAATATAAGTATATTTTTATTTTTGTATATGTATAAAATGAGTTGAATGCAAAAAAAATTTTTACACATACTCTGCAGTAAAATTTATTGTTTATTTTTTTGCAACATAATTCAATATAATAATACAATACAAATTAAAATGCAATAATATTAGTATTTAAATATATGTTTTATTTACCATGATAATAATATTAATAAAATAATATTAAATATATTTACGAAAGGAACATTTTTATTCTCGAGAGAGAAAGAGAGAGAAAATATATCTTCTGTCTCTCTCTTACTTATATCTTACATATGTAATGATTTTGCCGATTCACTCCCGTACAAATTTCCAACGTCAAACGCGCGTATAGAAGTATAATTTCAATAAATTTTGTCTTAGAAGCATTTATTTTCAGACATATTTCTCTTCCCTTCGCGTTGTGTAAAATCCAATACCTATTAAAAAAGTTATACGTATAATAATATTGAGCAAAAACTTTTATAGACTCCGATTATAATACCTAAGGACTATACGGCTTCCCACTTGGAAGAAGAACAGCGTTTAGCATACTTCAGAGAAGATATCGGAGTAAATCTGCATCACTGGCACTGGCATTTAGTCTATCCATTCGAGGGACCAATGGAAGTTGTTAATAAGGATCGCAGGGGAGAATTGTTTTATTACATGCATCAACAGATTATAGCGAGGTGAGTATCCAAATTTATATTTAGTGTTTGGTGTACCTTTTCCTTGCCTGTCATTTAGTCTAAGAATATTGCTCTAAACAGTTCAACATGCAGATCAGTTCCTCAAATTATTCACAAATAAGCTACCAGCGGTACAATGGGTTCTGTTATTTAATATGCAATGTTGTTTGTAATGCAAAATATATAAAAGAAAGACAAAATGACTAATCGAAACAATTATCTGGATCCAGAGAAGATAATCAGTTTCAAGAAAAAGACAGCGAGAAAATGATGAAACATATATTTTTCCAATCTTGCATATTAAAATTAACGCAAAATCAAGAACAGAAAACATCAACGATTGAAATAGAAAACGAGTTAAGATAATTCCTAAGTTATACAATAAAATACAGAAAAACTTATCAGTATCAGATACAGCTTGCAATGAACGACGAAATGATACAAAACACACACACACACACACATACACACACACTATGGGATTAGACAAAGAATGGTTAAGTGTTATGTTTGGTCCGTACTTTTGTATAGTGCAGAAGTGTGGACGCTAAAAGTATCGATCATAAACAACAAAATTGAAGCATTGGAAATGTGGGTTCATAGACGAATGCTAGAGATAGCTCGAACAGCAAGGAAAACTAATGAAGAAGTTCTAAGGAGCGTCAACAAAGATAAAGAACTACTAAAGACTATTAAACATTGAAAAATGTCTTATCTGGAACATATAGTAAGGGGAAGTCGATATAAAATATTACAACTGATCCCTAAAGCAGAATAGAGGGCCGTGGAGGTGGAGGAAGGAAACGAGACTCTTAAATAAGGAACAGATCAAATTGCAGAAGATTGAGAAGCCTTCGCAATGGTAATGGCCAACGTCGGATAATTCTGATATGGCACGCGAAAAAGAAGACCTCTCTGACCGGCGAGCTAATCTTTATCCTTTTCCTTCGTAAGCATTTAACGAATGAGGTGACTGTAGTAATTTTTACGTTAGATGGCCTGCATAATGAACCATCTACCGTTATTTTATGTCACAAGGCTACCTAGTTTTAGGGGTTTTGTTCAAAAAGCGGTACTTCCTTTGATAGGTTAGAGTTGTTATGAAAAATCACCCTCAGATTTTTCAACCATAACCATGCTGTTGCCTACAATACCAATACCAAAAAGTAAACTATCAGTTTTGAAAGACATAACCTGCAAGGATCCCTAGTTAGAACCACAGATGGGCGATGAACAAAGTGGTTATTGGAATGGAGATCAAGGAAAGACAAGAGAAGCATCGTTTGACCACTTACATAATGAGATAATAATTTAAGAAGAGAAAATAAGACTGGATGAGAGTGACGCAAAATAGACGGGGTTGTAAACACGAGGAAGAGGCCTATGTTCAGTTGTGGACTTTTGAAACTGGATGATAATGATATGTATGTATAACACTGTATAGACATTAAAAATTGGAAAAATGTACGAAACAGATCGGAATGGAGAAGCATCCTGTTAGAGGCCAAGATCCAAAAAGAGTTTTCAAACTAGTATTGATGATTTGATTTAGCTATTTTACATTTGTCTATTAGTTTTAAGGCTGTTTTCGCAGTTATAGCATACTGCGATTTGAAGTGGGCGTATCACTTACTTTTCTACACTGCTATGTCAGACTCTACGTGACTTCCTAATACTTTGGATGTTTATTCAGTGGCGCCGGCCCACGGGTTGTTTAAAATAAATGCATTATTCTCCATTCAAATTAGTTTTGTCGGAATACTTTTTTTTAGATTAATTATCGTAGATAATGTTTTAAAAAGAATTAATCACATTTTTAATTTATATGTCTTAGCTAAACATAGTATTAAATAAAAATTTGTGAAACGTGACTGCAAAAAACACCATGGTGTTTATTTATAATAAATTTAAATTTTGTTATATTAATATTAATATATAATTAATATTTTGTTAATGTTTGTTAGAGAAAACTGATATTAGCGTAGTTAAAATTAAACAAAAAATATTTTTATTTATCTATAAAAAATTGGTACCTGCAGAACCATCATAATAGTAAATGTATTTATCTGGCAAGTATTTCGAGGCGACGCACTGCGAGGAAAATGTTCTCTGAATGGAATATACATTATTTTAATATATTTATAGGTTGCAGTTACATAAGAAAAGTATCCAATTGATGAATAAAACACAAATCGTGGATAGGTATTTCATCATATCAGTGGCATTACAGCTCGTCATGAGCCAAAGGCTTCTTCAGAACAATCTTCCATTCGCCCCTGCCTCTGGCAACTTTCTCCATGCTTTAACTCCGATGGATTTTAGATCATCCTCTATGTTATCTTGATACCCAAGTTTTGGTCTTCGTCCTCTTCGGTCGAAAATTTTTCTGATCGTTTCATCTTCATCTCGCCTAATTACATGTCCTATCCATCAAAGGCGTACTAATTTAATAAATTTTACAACATCAGGTACTACACCTGAAGAAGCATCGTAGTTTACTTTATATGATCTTTTTGACCAAGCACCATCAGCTATAACGGTTATTAACCCATTTCCGTCGGAATCTACTTCACCTTTGTAATATAAATAATAAATACTAAAGCAGTGCAATTGCTCTCCTTTTCCTTGACATAGGACGTTTATTGGGACTCATTTTTTATCTTGTCTCTTATAACTTATATCACTAACCTAATGTAATACTTAAAAATACGCGTAAAACTAAAGAACTTTTAACTTATACCACTAAACTAATAATATATTACTTAACATACACGTAAACTAAATAATTTCAATGTTTTCAAAATAATTAAGAATACTGTAAACTGTAAAAACTAAGCAAGTTGATAAAGAAAATACAAGAATGAAAGAACTAAAATGGATTCTAATTCAAGCGAACTAACTGACCGTACCCATAGAGAAATAAAAATAAGACCGTACCGTACGCTCATGAGATTTGACGTCACTAATGCGATAACGACCAAGCTCAGCGACAATGATGAGGAACACGTTTCACTATTAGATTTCAGTATTTTTTAGCAATTTTCTTCAAAGTTTGAATACGCTTTTCTCGATTATTACTGGACACAGAAAGGTGAAAAAAGAATCAACGATTACAGAAAAAAAAACTCTTTCAACTGATGGGCGTGAAAAGTTTGGTTATAATAGAACGTTAAACAGTATAATCCAATTTTTCAACAGAAAATTCAAAAAAATAAAAAAAGTAAAACCATCAGTTTAAAGGCAACATAATTTCGTATAACATGTCCAAATTTCGAGACATTTCGTCGGTAAATAACAGAGAAAAAATTTTGGTGCACCGATAAAACAGCCTTAAGATATATTATGTCATCCATTATTTTTTTTTCATTGCTATTTCATTGATTATTATAAAAATATATTAAACCGACCTATGCACTGCCATTATTTTTGTTATTGTCATCTTTGAACGTTCATTTTGATACCTTTTTAGATATAATTTTGAACGTCTCTGCAACGGACTAAAAAGAGTGGAAAAAACTTACAATTTCATTGATGTTATTCCCGAAGCTTATTATCCGAAACTAGACAGCATGGTCGCAAGCCGAAGTTATCCCGCTAGAGTTCCGAACATGCGTTGGCAAAACTTACGACGAGAAGCTGACGGAATTCGAGTCGATGTAGAAGATATGGTACGTTGGAGGGAAAGGATATTTGATGCCATTGATATTGGATATGCCAAAAGTGTAAGTCATCTTCTCACTTATATAATTCGTATATTATAATTAAACTAGAAAATAGCAGTCTCAAATATTTATTAAAAAAATGGCTGATATAGAAAGGTGACAGTTAAAAGCAAGAAGACATCTGGTAAGATCACTGCAGAACAACCCTCCTAGAAGAATCCTTCTGTCCAACCTGTGACGGAGGGATGGTATAGATGAGGATGGTAGAAAAATAGGCGCAGCAAACTAACAATATTTAGCAATGAATAGAACTGACAATGGCTAGTTACAACAATAATAGCCATACCCATAAAGTCTAATGCGAGACAATGCTCGGAACATCGCACCATCAGTCTCATGTGTCATATATTAAAGGTCTTCTTAAAAATCATTCATCGGAGAATATATAAAAAATTGGAAGTTGACATCGGACTCTCTCAATTTGGCTTTAGAGACGGACTAGGAACTAGAGAGGCACTGTTTGCTTTTATTGTTCTAACACAACGATGCTTAGACGTAACTCAGGACATATTTGTGTGTTTCCTAGACTATAACAAAGCATTTGATACAGTAAAACATAGGCCACTGATGCAAATACTGGAAAATAAAAATATTGATACAAGGGACATGCGAGTGATAAGGAATCTATACTACAAACAAGAAGCTACAGTACGAATTAACAGCTCGATATCTGATAGAATATAGATCAAAAGAGGTGTTCGGCAGGGCTGTGTGTTGTCTCCAACCTTGTGTTCAATGTCTACGCGGAAGAAGTTATTTAAAAAGCTCTTATGAACGAAAAAGCCGGAGTAAAGATCAACGCTCACCCCATTTGCAATATCCGATATGCTGATGATACCGCGCTCATAGCAGAAAATATTGACGACCTACAGAGATTACTAAACAAAGTGGTAGAAGCAAGTGAAGAATTTGGTCTGTCACTGAATACAAAGAAGACCAAATTCATGATAATTTCAAAGAAACGTATCAATAATATCAACTTACATGTAGGACAGAATCTCATTGAACGAGCACAAAATTACAATTACCTCGGAACAAATATTAACGAGTCAAACGAATACACCAGAGAAATAAGAATAAGAATAGAGAAAGCCCTCAGTGCCTTTATCAATATGACACAAATGTTGTGTAGCCGAAACCTAAGCCTAAAGCTGAAAATACGAATGCTTAAATGTTATGTTTTCTCGGTCCTGTTATATGGGGTGGAGGCGTGGACACTAAATAAGCAATGTATGGGTAAGCTGGAGGCATTTGAGATGTGGGCGTACCGAAGAATGTTAAAAATCTCCTGGAAGGATAAGATAACTAACCAAGTTGTATTAGACACGATGAACAAACAAAAGGATGTCGTATTGAGTGTTAAAATGAGAAAACTACAATACCTGGGACATATTACACGTGGGAATAAATACCAACTGTTACAACTAATTATGCAAGGAAAGATTGAAAGTAGGCGTAGCATAGGTAGGAGAAGAATGTCATGGTTGAGAAACCTCAGGGAGTGGTTTGCTTGCACTTCCATACAATTGTTCCGAGCGGCAGCCTCCAGGGTCAAAATTTCCATGATGATAGCCAACCTTCGTAGCGGAGATGGCACGTGAAGAAGAAGAAGAAGAACTGACTAGCGCAATAGTCTTGGGAAGGTCGAGGCTCTTTTATAGGGCTGTAGCACTAATGGTGATGATAGAGTAGATTGTAGCATGTAACAAAAAAATGCGATTTTTGCTATTAATATTATATATTTTCCAGGAAAATCGGGAATTGGTGGAGTTAACCGAAAACGAAGGAATCGATATTTTGGGTAACATGGTAGAATCCAGTATTCTGTCTCCCAATCGAGATTATTATGGTGATTTGCATAATATGGGTCATATTTTACTGGGCTTCATTCATGATCCTGATAATAGATATCTGGTAAGTTCTTAAAGCCTACCCCTACCAATTCCTGCCCATTATTTAATCCCTTTTGCTCTATTATTTATTTTAATTTGATTGTTCCTTTAGGAAATGTTTGCTGTCATGGGCGATGTCGCAACTGCTGTGCGAGATCCAATTTTCTATCGGTGGCATGCTGCTCTCGATGATATATTCCAAAATCATAAGGACAGGTTGCCTCGTTACACCGTTGATAAAGTAAGTACTGTTAAAATAGTATGTAAATAAAATACAAAAACTGAAATATTAAAATATTGAAAAAAATTACAAAGTCTTATAGTTGTAGCACATGAGTAATATTTACAGTTACAGGATACCTAGAAATAAACAAAATGGCATTAGCTTTATAGGAATGCCACTAATAAACTTTTTGTTTACTTTGCTCATTTTATCGGCAAACGGATTTAAAGACTCTAACAACATTCCTAAAGAAATACCAAGAAGATCGCATTAAGAAAATCATAGAGAAAAACAAAAGTTTAAAAACAATGAAGACAAATATAGGAAAAAGAAAACTAATCATGCTTAAAGCTGAGAACAATAAAGAAACAGATCTAGGAGAAATAGGAAAAATTACAGAAAGATATTACGCAGACCTATACAGTTCTAAAAATGACCCACCACTATCATCTAAACAGAATCTCTCGAGAAAAATACAAAATGCTAGCTCAGAGATATTACCAGAAATAACTAAAATAATAAATAAAAGATGAAATCGAAAAATCCATAAACGACATGATAAGAAATAAAGCGGCCGGTGAGGACAAAATACTGGCGGAACTGCTAAAAGAAGGAGGAGACGCGATAAAAAAATGATAAAAATACTGTTCAACAAATGTCTGTTTGAAGGTAAAATACCTAAACAATGGAGAAATGCCAACACAATCTTAATACATAAGAAAGGAGACCGAACAGACCTAAATAACTACCGTTCTATTTCCCTTTTTGTCACAACTATATAAAATCTTCACAAGAATAATAAACAACCGACTGACCTATAAACTTGATATTTACCAACCAGTGGAACAGGCCAGATTCAGGAAAGGATACAGCACAATCGACCATCTACATGCGCTTTAAATCTTACTTGAGAAAAACAATGAATACAAACTTCCGCTGTACTCAGCATTCGTCGATTATGAAAAGGCTTTCGACAGCATTGAACACTGGGCGGTTGAAGAAGCTCTGGTCAATAGTAGAATAGATTCAAGATACCGACAATCGATACATGATATTTAGCAAAACGCAACCATGACCGTAATTCTGGACGAAAAATTAATAATGGATAATATAAAAGTCAAATGAGGAGTCCGACAAGGCGATATAATTTCACCTAAACTGTTTACCGTGACCTTCGAAGACATAATAAAATCAACAGATTGGGAAAACAGAGGAACATATATTAACGAAAAATACCTAAATCACCTTAGATATGCGAATGATATACTCCTGCTCTCCTCGCAACGACAAGAACTGGAATTAATGCTGAATGAACTTCATGAAAAATCACTGCAAAAAGGCCTAAAAATTAACTTCAACAAAACAAAAGTAAGGACAAACACGAAAGACCAAGAGCCAATAAAAATACAAACAGAAAAAATAGAACAAGTAAATGAGTATATTTATCTAGGACAAGCAATCAGAGCTAACAGAGAAAATCAAACAGCCGAAATATCGAGACGAGTAAGAATGGGATGGGCAGCGTTCGGCAAACTTTCTTACATTCTAAGAAATCAAACAATCCCTCTATACTTACGAAGCAAGGTATATAACTCCTGTATAATACCGGTGCTCACCTACGGAGCACAGACATGGACATTTACACAGGCCAATTTGGATAGGATAAGGAAGACACAAAGAGCGATGGAGAGACAAATGTTGGGTATATCACTTAAAGATAGAAAACGTAACCAGTGGATCAGAACCAGAACAAAGACAGTAGATGCGATAGAACAAGCAGCAAAACTGAAATGGAAATGGGCTGGACACAATGAACGTCTCCAAGACGGACGATGGAACAATGCCATCGAAAAGTGGGGTCCATACAATGCAAAGAGATTAAGAGGCAGACCACAGATGAGGTGGAAAGATGACATCAGGAAACAAGGAGGTCCCACATGGCAGAGAACAGCTCAAGATAGGGAAATATAGAGAGAACTGGGGGAGACCTATATCCAACAATGGAAGGATAGAGAAAAGGTTAAAAAAAACAACATTTCTAACCTATTATAAACCCCCTTATATATTGTTTTATATTATAATAATATACTACTGGAAAATCTGTGTCAAAGTGGTCATAAGACTAAGTCGCTGAACGTGTGGAGGTGGAATAATGCTTAGCAATGGTAGCCAATGGGCTGGTGTGTGCGCGTTTGATTACGCCAGCGATCATTTTCACGGTTACATTTAGCTGGACATAAATCTCTTAAACTTGAGCACTCCTTTAATCCATATTAGTGCGCAATATTCAGCTACTTACAGAATAAAGAAGTGCTAAGCTTGAAGACATATGCGTGAATGCCAATGCTTCTCATATTGTGCCGTAGTGCTTTTGAATGATGTTATTTCTGGTTGTTAGATTCTCAGCAACTGTAATCAAATGTTATATAAAGCTTAACGTTGTGTATTATTAAGGTGAACGTAAAGTGTTTGTTTTAGGCAAAATGTTGTTTAGGTGGAAACAGATTACTTCGGTTTTAGTAGAAGCATTAGGGCGAAGATGATTGGAATAAAGGTTTAACAATCTTCTTCTTAAGATGCCTTCTCCATTACTAAAGGTTGGCTATAACCATGATACTATGACTATAAGATAAGATATTGCGCATGTTTTTGTGACGTCATTGGAGAGTTGCACGTTCGAAATGTCAGTTTTTTGCATATATCAATAAATAATCTTTAATAAATAGTTTGGAGATATCCTTATGTGTACGATTATTGTAATTATTAAACCTCTTAACTTATTTTCGTCTAGTATAACCCGACAAGCGAGAGCTGGCGGGTTGCGTGTAGAACAAATTGAAACACGGAAGGGATTGCTCATTTCTATTGCAGTCGGCTAGGAGTTCACATCGTGTATAACTGTTTAAGTACCTATACTATATACCTATAATCGCGATTAAGTACCTCTCCTATCTCTCTTAAAATAATTCCTTTTTTATTTTCGCGCAGCTCACCCGCCAGATCCCGCTAGTCGGATTATAATTTCATCACAGAATGCATACAAATCCCATTTAACTTTAACAAGATTTCAAATTATACTCTCCAATGACGGCATGCGCGAACCCGACCGATTTTGAGCTACGGGAAGATCCTATCTTGTAATTCATAGTATCATGGCTATAACTACAGCAAATTGCTCTCTATCTTGAGCTGTTCTTATTATCGAATGCGTGTCCATGCATGTCCAGTCTCTTACATTCTTCAACTAGGAGCATTTTCTTCTTCTTGGGCCTTTTCTTCCTTCCCCTTTCCCTTCCATTATAAGTCGTAGGAAGTTGTATTTTACTCCTTTGTAAATATGTCCTAGATAACTCATTTTTCTGTTTTTTACAATATTTAGGAGATCTCTCTCAGCACCCATTCTTCTTAGCACCTCGTTGTTGTTCACGTGCTCTATCCAAGAGATCTTCAGCATGCTTTGAAACACCTACATCTCAAAGGTTTCTATACGCTTCATACTTGTAATTCCGAGAGTCCATGTTTTCACTTCGTATAGCAATATGGAATATATAAACGTTTTTACAAATTGGTATCGGATATCCAACGATAACGTAGAGTTTACTAGGAATTTTTTCATTCGTTGAAATGCGGACCTAGCATAATCTATACGAGCACGTATTTCGACCTCGTAGTCAAGATCGTTTGTTCTTCAGCAACCGAGTCATCAGGTTTTATGCTCTGCTTTCTATGATTCTGGTTCCTCCTAGATAAGTATTTATTCGTTGGCAATTTCTTTCCCAAGACTCGTTCTTCTTCTTAGAGATTTCCTTTGTACTTCTGCTTCGTTTTAGTTATATTTTATTTTGTCTTTTAATGATTTGGAGCTTAAATATTGTCGGTATAGTAGTCGTTTACATTTTTTAATTTAATAATTTGGTTTTATTAAACTTTCCACAAATGTACATAATGATCTGCTTGGAGATTGTATTATTCGGGAATCACTGAATTCTGTTCGGGGATCCACCTGAGCAAAAGTATATCTTGGCCTCGGGCGAATTTTGGTTCTCTTTCTTTAACTAATCATGTAATTACCCGTCGGTGAGTAGAGTGATTGGTATTTCACGAACGGCGAATTATGACGGGAATCACCCTGTGCTAAAATATTTTAATACTTTGATATTCTTACCTCACAACGTCACAAATTCACGAACAACAAATAATACTAATTGTACAGAATAAACGTTCATAAAAAAATCCTCTTCAAACAAATAAAAACCAATATTTTCCAAATTCTTATGTGACAAATACACACAAATTAAAAATGTTTGGAAAAGTTTTTAAAATCCCCGCTCATTCTGACGTTAGACTTAGGTAGTCCATTCTAGGATTCTAGGCTAAATATAATTGTCAAGTTGTCAGGGAAATCTAGGGAAATGTTGGCAAACATTTTAGGGAATTAAAAAAATTATCTGGCAACCCTGATTACAGCGATATTGCCAAGCAGCCCAGGCGATACGTGTTTGCCGTGTAGGCTTCATATGATACATTTTGGGGTCATCTGTGGTTGTTATAATTTGTTTTATTTTAGAATACAGTTTAATAATAATGAATTTTGTTATAGTTAAATTTTGACAACATAACCATCCAAGATGTTCAAGTCCAAACTGCAGAAGGCCCTGCTAACAAACTCCAAACATATTGGCAACAGTTCGACGTTGATCTCTCAAAAGGTCTGGACATCAAAACGCACGGACCTATTTTCGTTAGGTTGACATATTTAAACCACGTACCTTTTACCTACAAAATAACTGTCAATAATAACTCCAACGGTCCCACTGTTGGAACTTGTAGAATCTTCATGGCACCCAAATTCGACGAAAAGGGAAAAACATGGCTCTTCAGAAATCAAAAGAATTTGTTTATCGAGTTGGACAAATTTAAAGTTAACCGTAAGTGAATATAATTACTAATCCTATTAACAATATTGCAACGATCTGCAAATGATGTTTCTAAATTTTAGTGGATCCTGGAACTAACACTATCACCAGAAAATCATCTGAATCTTCAGTTACTATTCCGTTTGATAGAACTTACCGAAATTTGGATAAAAATCCAAGTGAAGGAGGTGATCATGAAGGTTTTTGTCGATGTGGTTGGCCAGAAAATATGTTGATACCAAAAGGATGTGATAATTTCGAAGCAGAACTATTTGTTATGATTTCTGATTATGCTGGTGATAGAGTAAGTACCTAAAATAATCTTTTTTTTTTCATATTTTTTAAGGTGGGTGGGAAATCTTCGTAAGATACCAGTTCTTATGTCTGATACAGTGCGTTAAGTTTTGGATTAGGTATACACTCTATAAATGGCAACACTGCGCGTCGTCAACTTGCACTACATATCTGCTTCGTTGACTCGTCGTTGCACGTCGCCCGTCGGCAAATTTGTCCTATTGTCATTATACCGTGGTTGTTTAAAGGTATAACAGCGTAGAGTTTTAATTTATTTTTGTAAACATGTCTGTTTATATGGCCGCGAAAAAAGCTCAAATAATAAAATGGTTTTATAGTGGCAATTCTGCGCAACAGTGTGTAGATTTATTTTCTGTGTTTTTTGAGGGAAGACCAATTCCTTGTGTACAGTCAATTTTAATATTGTTAAAAATTTTGAGAGTTGTTATTGCCTCAAAAAACAATCGAGGTAGATTCAACACGTTCAAGTAGAAGGGTTGCTAGAGAGTTAGATGTTAGCAATGTTACTGTAACGAAAGTATGGAAAAAGCACTGTTACAAGAATTTTAAATATTCGAAAACGCAGCAGCTTTATCCAGACGATTACTTTCGAAGAATGAAGTTTTGTGAAACTCTAATAATGAAGGCTAATAGTGAACCAAATTTTATTAAAAACATTTTATTCACTGATGAATCTTCTGTTTCGTTAGTAGGGAGACACAATCCTTCCATTACGAGGTATTGGGCGCGGAAAAACCAGCACAGAAGTGTTGTTTACCGAACTCAACGTCCTCAAAAAGTTAACGTCTGGACTGGCATTTTAGAAGACCACATAATAGGTCCATTTTTTATTGAGGGCAGCTTGAATAGTAGAGTATACATCGATTTGTTACAGAATCATGTTCTTCCCGCTATTCTCAATCTTCCTGATGTAAATCTGGAGAATATTTGGTTTCATCAAGACGGCTGTTCAGTTCACAACGCTCGAATTATTAGGGAGTATTTAAACAATACTTTCCCGAATCGAGTTATCAGTGGAACAGGCGATATTAAGTGGCCTGCGCGATCTTCAGATCTTACACCCATAGACTTCTTTTTTTGGGGACATTTAAAAAGCATTATCTACGCTCATCCTCAAGCGTAGTTGATGAAAAGCATCAACTACGCTTGTGATCCGCGAGTGCAGTCCGGGATTCCGCCCTGGTGGCGGCATATCTTCAGTACTACATCCGCCTCACTTCTTGTTAAGTATCACTTCACCACTGGACTAACACAACAGACTTTTTTTGTGACTACAGCAGTCTTTCTTCAGTCTTCAGTCTTTGAATATGACCCAGATTGTTGTTCAATATACTTTAAAGCCACCTCCATTGCAGCCCTCGCTTTGGTGTGGCCGACCTTTCCTCATCGTCCATATCAGATAGAGTAGCATACACGATGCTTAAATTAAAAAGAACGTCCTTAAAAATCTTACAGGTGTACGCTCCAACAAGTACCTACAGCGATGAAGATATTGAACATTTCTACGAAGACATAACAGCTATGGAAGATAAGAAATCAAAATTAACGGTAATAATCGGGGACTTTAATTCCAAAATAAGAGAATAACTATATAAAGAAGAACACAAAGTAGGACACCATGGATAAAGCAACAGAAATGATAGAGGTCACATATTAATGAATTACTTGGAGGAGAAGCAACTATATGCAATGAATACCTTCTTTAAGAAAAAACCCCAAATAAACTGGACATGGATTAGTCCCAATGGTGAAACTAAAAATGAAATTGATTATATTCTTACAACGCAAAAATCCATGGATAAAGACGTGACAGCCCTAAATCGCTTCTCAACTGGTAGCGACCATAGACTAGTCCGAGCCAAGCTGATAATTGATAGTAGATTTGAAACAAGAAAGAAAATGGAAAATAATCAGAAATTAGACATGGAAAAACTAAAACAAGAAAAACAGACGTACGAAGAGAGAATAAAGGAAATATTACCGACCTAGGAAGATATAGAACACAAACATATCGATGAAATAAAACTCTGAAACTCTAATGAAAGTGGGTAAAGAAATAGCACAGACAACAACAAAAAAAGGAAGTTTCATATCCCAGTAAACAAAGATTCTTATGAACACAAGAAGAACATTACTAAAATAAGGGGACAGAAATAAAATGGAATACAAAGAAATAAACAAAATTATTTGAAAAAATATCAAGGAGAGTACAGGAAGAGAAGAAAAGATAGAGAAAACAATTGAAAAAAATAGAAAAATAGAAAAAAGTTCTTAAAGCAGAACCTGGGAAACATACAAATTAATAGCATAAAGAACAAAGAAGGAGCAGATACCAACAATATAAAAGAAATTTGACAGATAACGCACGAATATTATACAAATCTCTATAAAACTGAAAACCTATACAAATCTCTATATACAACTGAAAATAAAGAACGTTAATTCTGACCTACAACCAGAAATCAGTAAAAATGAAATAAAAAAGGCACTCAAAGAAATGAAGAATAACAAAAATCCTGGGAAAGATGGAATAACTGTGGAAATGCTAAAAAAGGGGGGAAACTACAGTGGAAGTCCTTTATGTACTAATGAATAAAATATTGAACACAAAAAAATACCCACCACATGGAACGAGGCAATAACACTATTACTATTTCAGAAAGGCGATAGAAAAGATCTGAAAAACTATAGGCCCATAACGCTACTTAATGTAATGTACAAACTGTTAACTAAACTACTATCAAACAAATTAACAACTGAGTTAGATAATTACCAGTCAAGAGATCAAGCCGGTTTTAGAAAAGAATTCAGTACAAACGACCATCTGCTTACGATAAAAATATTAATTGAAAAGGCCAACGAATATCAAATCTCAATGTATATGGCATTTTTAGACTTTGAAAAAGCATTCGATAAGGTGAAACATTGGGCAGTAAAGAACTCTTTACAAAATGGGAGAATAGACTATTGATATACGGACTTAATTTCCAATATACAGGGTGGTGAATCGTCAAACGGGCCATAGGAAACTCAATGGGAAATTCTAAATTGTTGAATTCCTGCTTCCCTAATTATTTTACACCAAAAGTCATGGGAAACTATTTGTAGAGGACTCAAATATGTATCGAAAACAACTGTTAAAATTATTCTACGACTTAAACGTATTCCAAAATTTTGCTAAAATATAATACATTTTTCTGTGAAAAATATGTATTACGTGTTGCGTTTTGTCATATTATTGTTTCTGATATTTGACAATATTTAAATCAATTATATTTATCTACGATTTAAATGGCCAAAATTTTGTGATTTATTGTTTAAAAAAAAATTTAGTTGATTTAAAAATGTACTCGGTTGAGGAGAAAAAAGCAATAATAAAAATGTTTTATTCATGTTTTATTATAACATTTGTTATAGTGTTATGTTTAGAAATTATCATATATTATTATTAGGAATAAAGATCACAGTAAGAGTATATTGGAATTCATCGAATTGTTGTATAACTTAACTTAACATGGAATTAAATTTTAGTGAATTAGAATATCTTACGTTAAATAAAGATCCGGTAGTGGCAGGAAAAGGTTCGCGCTATTGCCTGAATACAACATTATGCGATTTTTCGTCAACTGAGTACATTTCATTATATTGATCGATTTGTAAACAATATAATTTATTGTTCACAAAGTAATAATGTTCAGTAGTAGTAGAATTTAGTAAAATTCATTGTTTCAAATTGTCAAACATCTGACATCAATATGATAAAACACACACGTCCTAATATATCTTCTTGCATTACGTGTGGCCTAACTTTTAGAGGTGGTCTGAAAAATGTATCACATTTTTGCAAAGTTTTGAAGTACATTTAATTCGTAGAACGGTTTTAACATTTTAGTCCTCTACAAATAGTTTTTTATAACTTTTGATCTAAAATAATTAGGGAAGCAGCAATTCAACAATTTGAAATTTCTCATTAAGTTTCCTATGGCCCGTTTGACGATTCACCACCCGATATATGATCAAGCAATAACATTCATTAAAATAGTTGAACAAACGGAGCCATTTTAAGATACGGCGAGGAGTCAGACAGGGTTACACTATATCACCCAAACTATTTAATGAAGCTGTGGAAGACCTTATGAGGAAATTACAATGGAAAAACGGGGTTTTAACATACATGGCCAATACTTGAATCACTTGAGATATGCAGACGACATTGCATTAATAACAGATAAAAGGTGAGAATTACAAAATATGATGGATGAATTAAATAGCGAATCAATAAAAATAGGTCTACAAATGAATTATAATAAAACGAAAATTATGACCAACCAACTAGAATAATTAATAATTACAATTACACAAACAACTATAGAACAAGTAAAATTATATGTATATTTGGGACAACTAGTTAAATTGAAATTAAGAACATCAGACCAGAGAAGTAAAGAGAAGGGTACAGCTGGCTTGGGTATCCTTCGAAAAACTTTCCTATATACTAAAAATTAGAAAATACCCCCAATATTTAAAAACATTGATGACCTATGGTGCCGAAACTTTGACATTGACAGCTACAAGCTCTAAAACGCTGCAAATAGCTCAGAGGAAAATGGAAAGATCAATGCTGAGTATATCGCTTTGAGACCGAGTTAGAAATGAAGACTTAAGACGAAGAACAGGAGTTAGTGATGTCTTCTTCTTCTTCCTTCTAGTATGTAGGTTTTAAAGCCTGTTTCTTTTTTTTGGTGACTTATCTCGTGCTATTCGTACTATTCTATCCTCTGCCATTCTACTGATATGTTCGTTCCACTCCTGTTTTCCTTTTGTCACCCATCCATTTATGTTTTTTATATCGTCTATATCTTCTAGCGGCGGCTTGCTAAGCAAGTAAAGCGGCGGGTTCTCTTAATGGCACAATCTGGAAGAACAAACACCTAAGACAAGACACAAAAACAAGAGTTACCTATGTAACTTCTCAAATTGCCACACTAAAATGGAACTGGGCCGGACACGTCGCTCGAATCAGTGATGAAAGATGGACGGAGAGATTGCTTGACGGAGAGAGGCCGAGATCAGACAAAAGAAGTCGAGGAAGACCCCCTACCCGATGGACTGATGATCTCAAGAACATGTCAAGAAATTTGATAAAAAGTGCTCAAGACAGAGCACAATGGACAAAAATGAGGGAGGCCTATGTCCAGCAGTGGACGCGAAGGGCTGGGTGATGATGAACAAGAGTCTTCAACCAATGTATAGTTCCTGTTCTCACTCACGGTTCTCAAACTTAGACGTTTACAAAGGAAAACATGGAAAAAATAGCAAAGACCCAAAGAGACCTGGAAAGGCAAATGCTGAACATCAGACAAGAAAAGAAATACTTGGATCCACAACAAAATAAAAGTGACCGATGTATCAACGCAGATAGCAAAACTTAAGTGGAAGTTCGCTGGACATACCATAAGACAGAAAGACGACAGATGGAATAAGATGAATATACACTGGAGACCATATAGCTACAAACCAAAAAGAGGAAAGCCACAAATGAGATGATAAGATGACTTGAAGAAACACGCAGGCCCGACGTGGATACAAACTGCCTACAATAGAGAGACTGTAGAAAGCATAGGAAGACCTTAAAAAAGATGGGTAGATGACATAAGAGCAGTGGCAGGTAAACAGTGGATTAGATTGGCGCAAGATAGAGAAAGATGGAAGCAATTGGGTGAGACCTACATTCAGGAGTGGATGGAAAATGGTTGACAAGGTATATAAAAAAGGAGAAGATAAAACAAAATAGCAGTAAAAGGCTGCATCAACAGGATGCAACAATTCGGATGCTTAAGGTTACATTTCTGTGACAATTGATTTTCAATGACAAACCTGCCTTTATCACGAATTCACACACAAACATACGGAATACCAATTTGGCCTGACACCCTCGGAACCCAAGAATCACAGAAGAAAGTCGCTTCAGTATATCGTCTGAGTACTTTAAGAGTTGCTAGCACATTCAGCACAGTATCTGTGCGAAATGCTACCCATTGGAGCGTCAAAACGTCATAGCCGGGGTGCCACTCATTGGAGTACTATCTGAAGAAAGGAAGACCCTTGATCGACAAAGAGACATTGTGCTGGAATGAACTTAGAAGAATAGAAAGGAAAAAGAGTAAGAGCATCAGTAGCAAGGAACCTGTTTTCTTCCTATACCTCTACGGCCTTCCGTTTTGCCTTTAAGAATCAATTGTTGTATTCTATATCGATTTCCCCTACTATATGTCCCTGATAAGATATTTTCGGAGTTTAACAGCCGTTAACAATTCTTTCTCTTTGTTACCCCTCAGTACCTTCTCATTAGTTTTTCTTACTGTCCAAAGTACCTATCTTCAGCATCTGTTAATGAATCCCCATTTCCAATGCTGCAATTCTGTTCATGCGTGATACTTTTATTATTCACCCTTCTGCTCCATACAAAAGTACAGACCTGCAGAATACTGTCACATGTAAGCATGTGAAGTGACCTTTAATAAGAAGATTGGGAACAGTGTGTGTCTATCAGTGTCAACGGGGACATCCGCCTTCCTTGACAACGTCACTCCACATGCTATGAGGCTAGGTGCAACGATATAACCTAGGAATAGTAATATGTAACGTTCTGATAATATAACAAAATAAAGTAATACAACTACAGTCATCTATACTTGTTTTATTACATAAGTTCACATTACATGTGAAAGAAGGAAGAGGAGGTCTATGTCCAAAAATTGGACAGCAACGGCTGGATAGATAGATATATTTATTAAAACATTCATTCATAATCTAAATTTTTTTGTGGGTCTTTTTAGCTATTTAAAGATCTACAAAACCGAGTATAGTTTATCATTGTAATGTAGTGTCTTCTCTGCTAGCTGTAGTACTGTGATTATTAAACCTATTCTCCTTCTGAAGCCGTATTATTATCTAATATTATTTTTAACTTTTAATACTTTAATATTTATTGTGATATTATTATCATTTCAGATTGACCAGGACGTTGGAGGGCATCCCGGCGATGCAGGAAGCTATTGTGGTCTTAAAAATAAACTGTATCCCGATCGTAGATCAATGGGATATCCGTTTGATAGACAACCTAGAGATGGTGTCAACACTCTTCAAGATTTCCTAACACCAAATATGAGAGTCAGGGATGTAATTATTAAATTTAATGATCGAACCCTTGCACCCGGAGAAAGTTTTTAATGATTCATCAATATATATTGAGAATGTGTCCAATGTTTTTTAAATATACTTTTAATTGCTTTTGGTAATAAATTTAAATATGGGTTGTAATTCGTAATTTTATTGCTAATATTGTAGCTTCAGATAAAACCTTTAAAAAATGCTGGATCGGACCCCACAGGAAGTAGAAAGCAGTTTTGTTGGTGGAGCGGCGAAAACAAAGAGTTATAAACCAATCTATAATAAAGGTTATGACTAGACTTCGGCAAATATGCATATTGCATATTTTGCATATTGTGCATATTTTATGCAAATATTTCATATTTTGGCAAATTTGTATAAAAGTTAGCATAAAGTGCATAAAAGTTCAGATTTTTATACTGCATTTGAAAATTTTTAAACATACCAATTTATTTCAATTCTTGTATAAAATTTTGTAGTCATTTTAATCAAGAAATGATCTAAGTACGTAATCTCTACAGGTACAAAACATTTACAATTTCAAAGAAGATCAATTTAAGTAGCCCTCAACATTCTTAGAAAGTCTCGGTCACTGAGGCATTCAGTTATTGGATAATCGCTAAGGGTTCGCTCATTTGCATTTTATGATCTAATCCCCAAATCTATCTACAATTTATTGTATCTTAACAGCAGGTAAACGGCTAATAGTTTTGTTCCTAATTTAGGGATTTTCCAAAATCTCCCAGTTTATTGAATTAGGTACCTAAACATTTCTAATTTGATGCTCAGATTTGTAAATCATTTTTGTTTTGATATTCAAAACACTCGTTGTGCGTAACAAAAAGGAAGATTGTGATTTTATAATGCCTAAAACAACCATGTTCTACTTGGATTAAACCTTATAAAGAGCTGTCTATGGATATGGGAAAAATCTACTGTTCAGTCTGTGGCAAAATTGTAAGTATCTAATATTTTCTATTAAATATCTAATATTTCATACATACAGGGTGTTTCCAAATGACACTTACAACGTTTGACTGTAGATACTTCTCGAAAAATTGAACAAAACGATATAGTTAATGAGGGGTCAAACTTATTTACTTTTTGAGATACAGGGTGTTAAAATTAAAAAAAAAATTAAATTCTTTTAGTTAATAACAACAATAACTTTAAAACCAATAAACGTATTTACTTAAAATTTAGTACTCGTAGGTTGTTTTTAAATGAAAAATAGCTTCCTTTAGTGAGAAAAAATTGTCCATGGTACAATACAATGGTGTGTATTTAAAAAAAATTTTCACCTTTACTTTTTTTTATGAAGTCAGCTATTCTAAAACACAATTATTTTTATTGTAATTGAATTAACAAAAAAAAACTTTTGTTGAATTTTAAAATAAGTTATATGATGTACTAATGGTTAGTAACAAAAACTAATTTGTGGATTAATACTGCATTTAAAACACTTAGCGAGTGATTTTTTTCCAAACCAGTTATTTGATTAACCAAAAACACCTTGTATATTTTTATATTTTAAAGGTTGGGTTAAAATAAAGGTTTTTATTTTTATTTATAGATAGCATGTGAGAAGAAATTTCAGATAGACCAACATGTGAGAACTGCTTCACACATTTCAAAAAAAGGAAAAATAGGAGGAAAACATCAAACTTCAATGGCTAAATGTTTCCAATCTACTTCAAAAAAATTAGATGAGCAAGAAACTTTTAATGAAGACTTGTGTCGCGCATTAGTGTCTGCAAACATACCGCTTTCAAAATTAGCAAATGTAAATTTTAGTTCGTTTCTAAAAAAATATTGCAAACTTAATGTTCCAAGTAATCGGTCTCTAAGAAGAAATAATGTGAACGGGCTATACTCCTCGGTGTTAATTAATATTAAGGAAGAAATTGCAGATAATTATTTTTACATATCTGTAGACGAAACCACTGATTCCTCAGGAAAGTATATTGCTCATTTATTGATTGGTGTTCTTAAAGAAGATACCTTACCAAAATCTCATCTTATTTCATGCCAGCAACTTGAGAAAACAAATGCTTTAACAATTTTGCGTTTTATACAAGAAACATTAGCAACTTTTTTTCTTCCGACAACTAATCCTTCTAATAAATTACTGCTTATTTTATCGGATGCTGCTCCTTATATGGTAAAAGCAGGACAAAATTTAAAAATATTTTTCCCAGATTTAATACATGTTACTTGTGTAGCGCATGGATTAAACAGAGTTGCAGAGGAAATACGAAAAAAGTTTCCTCTTGTAAATACCATGATATCCAGTGTCAAAAAAGTATTTCTTAAATCTCCTATAAGAATTCAACTTTATAAAGAAATGCTACCTAACATTCCTCTTCCACCACAACCTATTTTAACGCGATGGGGAACATGGTTAGAAGCAGCTAATTTTTATGCAGATCATTTTGTTAAAATAAAGAACATAATTGATACGTTAACAGTTAGAATCACCAAAACTGTCATTGTTCGAAAGTACAGCATTAATAAAAGAATTTGCGTCATGTTGTCGGAACGTTAGAGGTAATATTGGAAAAGATATTTTAAAAAAATTTGAAGCTACTATGGAAAAAAATAAAGGTTACCATATTCTTTCTGAAGTAGTCAGTGTTCTAGCTGGAAATATTTCGGAAACAATTAATTTAGAACCAAATGTTTTGGTTAGTTTGAAAAATGCTCCCTTACATCAGTTGATGTTGAACGAAGTTTTTCCATATATAAATATATGTACTCAGACAGAAGCCACAAGTTTTTGTTAGAAAATTTTGAACACCACTTGGTCATTTATTGTTACCATAATTCTAAATAAGTTTATTCATACTTAAAAATGATGTAGTTACTTAATAAATGTAAATCTTAATGAATAGTAGGAAATATTTAGTTATGTACAGTTTTTTTTTAAATAAAATTGTTACTATTTTACGATTTTTTATTTCTTTGTATGCATATTTTGTAAAATATTTGCATATTTTCGGGTAAACACGTGCATATTTATGCGCATATTTTCTACATTTTTATTTGCATATTTGCCGAAGTCTAGTTATGACAAATGATTGTGGGCATTAACTTGGAATTATTGAAACGCATATTAAAGTTTTGTTAAATATTTTATAGTCACTATTATCAACATTACTGTCAAAGTTGGTACAATAATCGACAAAACAAGAAGAAGATTAAAAACATAAATGTATGTTTTTATTTGCAGCTTAAACTGATTTAAAGCTATTAATATGGGTGTCTCCTAGATTATTTTAATGTGTGTAATTATAAAAATTAAAATTTAAACTAAATTTTTGTGATTTCACGCTTCTTAACGCTTGTAGGTTTTCCGTCCAAACACCCATGGTTTATATTCTAACATTAATACACTCATAACAGGATAATTTCTCCTTTATATTACGGCGTCTATGAATGATCCGCTTATAACTGTTAGCGTGTCATCGCTTACTAGGAAAGTGCATAGCGAAAAATTAAGGCCGTAGTGAAGAGAAGTTAAAAAAAGGATTGTAGTTTAACATTGATCGACTTTTTAGTGACGCCACTGCCTTGGAATACGTTGCAACCAGAACATGTAACACTTTGAAAGATCTTAGATCCCGGTAATACGATTACTTAGTTGTATTTGAAATGACGTGCGTGAGTTTTGTTAAAAATGTGAAAACTGTGATCAAATTCTTGGTAAGTAAAATATATTATCATTAAAAATATAATAAATAAGGAAATCATCTCAATGTTTTTAAGTTTTATATTTAGACATTCGTAGTTTTCTTTGAAGATCTAAGTACAATTTGAAAATCCTAAAAAATAAAATGAATTTTAATCCAATAAGTAAAAAATAGTATGCATATACTGACAACAATAAATCTATATGCACTGATAGTCAGTCGTCAGAGATTTGACTTTTAAAAAGCATACGAACAAGCTAAATTTTGCTGAGAACCGAGGCTTCAATTTTGGAACCCCAAAAAACTTCAATATATTTTGATCAGAGTATCCTATTGACAAAAATTAGAATGAGCTTTAAAGGTGAAGAGAGCCAACTTTCGTATGCAATTTTTGAATTTGTCGCAAGTCAGTTTCTATAAATTTTAAATAAATAAACGTTGCGCGATTTTTTCCGTTTTTTCCAATCCTCCTGAGATCAACAAAATGTATCATTTTCATTGACCGATCGCTATAGTATTTCCATTTTGAACGCCTAATCTTCAAAAATTCTTCATCTTCTACGGCAGTAAAGCCCAAACTAAGCCTTGGTCTCCTTTATTTTTTGCCTTCACCCTTGCTTGTCTGTGGCTGATTTTCTCCATACATCTTCTTCTTCTTCTTCTTGTGCCGTCTTCTAAGGAAGGTTGGCGATCACTTCTTTAAACGCTTCTCGATCTTTTGCAACGTGAAATATCTGTTTAACACTGAGGTTAGTCCAATCACTGATATTCCTTAGCCGAGATTTCTTCTTTCTTCCCAAGCCTTTTCTTCCCAATTTTTCTCCATACATGGACTCCTAAAAAGGAGGGCTTCTGCGTCGCTCTTTACTGAGTCTTCCTAGTGCTTTCTTAGCTTTCCAACCGGTCTCTTTCCCTGCATTCTAGTATTCAGTGCTCTTTTTGGTAGCCTATTCTCTGCCATTCTTATCACACATGTCCGACCCATTGCAATCTTTGTATTGTAATGAAGTCTGACAGTGATGCTTCCTTATAAAGTTGATAAAGCTCGTTGTTATATCGACTTCTGAAGATTTCGAGTTCCCTCACAGGTCCTAGTATTCTCCTCAGTACTTTCCTTTCGAATGTGTTGAGTTTTTTTTCAGTCAACACCCGCAAAAAACCCCGAGTAATCACTTTGGACCAATTTTAAATAAAAATAAGAACATACAATTTCAGGAGAGAAGGCCCACCTTCCATTAGGTAGCTTGAGAAACATCGCCGTCATAAAATTGGTTTTTAGCGACTTTAAAAACCCCGAGTAATGACTTTCGACATATTTCGAATGAAAATAACATAACACTCTAGGAGAGGAGATTCACTCTGGGCACCAGGAAGTTTGAAGATCATATTCGTATTTAGAGACCCTGAAAACCCCCGAGTAGCAAAATTAAACTCATTTATGTCGATATTTTCTGAGTTGCAAATTTTTCATTTTCTTTGTACTTTGGAAATGAATTTTTTCTATGCAAAAAATGCAATTTTTTTTTATCACCATGAATTTTGTTCACAAAATTTCTTGGCACTTTGTCAAATCGAAGGCAACAAGTTGCACAGCGATTCATTTTGCTGCGGAAAATTCGTAGGTTTAGTCTTTTTCGTCACGTTTTTGGTTTTATTTAGAACATTTTTAAAGATTAAAACTCTGATTATGATTATGATTCTTCTTCTTCTAGTTCCATGACCGTTATCGATCGTTGGATATCATGTTGGCTACCATATTCGCTATCGTGACTTTATTGACAGCAGCTCTAAATAACGATGTAGTTGATTTTCCATACTATTGCCTTAGATTTTTCTGCCATGATGTTCTTCTTCTACCAGGACCACGATTACCTTGGATCTTTCCCTGAATGATCAGATGTAAAAGATCATATTTTTCAGGGTGTCTCATAATATGACCGAAGTATTCCAGCTTGCGTTTCTTTATTATATTGACCAGTTGTATTGTTTGGTTCAGCCGTCTAAGGACTTCCTCATTTCTAACTCTGTCGACCCAGCTTATTTTCAGTAGTCGTCTGTATACCCACATCTCAAATCTGTCAAGCGTTTAAGCATAGCCTCAGTTAGGGTCCACGCTTCTACTCCATACAGCAGGACAGGAAAGATGTAGCAAGATATCATACGAACTCTAAGGTCAATGCTAAGATCGTGACTGCAAAGTACGTTTCTCATTTTTACAAAGGCAGCTCGGGCTTGTTCTATTCTGCTTTTAATTTCTGCGGTTGGATCCCAGCTCTCATTGATATTACTGCCGAGATACACGAGTTTCTCTACTCTGTCCAGTGTGGCATCTCCGACTTTTATACCGTCATCATGTATATAATTTTGTTTGCTAACTATCATATATTTAGTTTTCTTAACGTTGAGTTTTAATCCATACTGATCACAAGTCTGTTTTATTTTGTTCATTAGATTTTGAAGGTCTTCTCCGCAATTGGCAAGGACTAAGGTATCGTCGGCATATCTAATATTGTTGACGGTTACTCCATTCACAATAATACCTTCGGTTGTCTCTATTAAGGCTTCCTTAAATATGATTAAGATTATGATTAAATATGATTATGATTATGATTATGATAAAATACATTAATTTAGTGAATTTTAACAGTATAATTAGAAACTAAATTAGAATTAATCAGTAATAAAAAAAATTGCTATATTGGTTTACGTTATTTCCCTATGAAATCATTGACTGTCTATTTTTTGTAAAAAATAAAACGGAAATAAAGCAAATATATTTTTAATGCAAAAAATATCAAATAAAATGTTATAAAAAAATTTAACCTGGACATATCAAACTTTTTCTGCTGTATACAATGGACATGTCAAGTTCTTTCCCTGTACAGGGTTTTTTCAAACACTTATATCTTTTAACTTATCAAGTTATTACGTTGTATCGAGTTACTCTTAGAAACTATGTAATTAAAGCTATAAAGTGGTATTAAAAACGAAAATTCTCAAAAATTGGATTTATCAAGTTCTTTTACTGTGCTCTTTATTTCCTTTTTCTTTTTTCGTTTCTTACCACTCTGTTCTGTATATCCTAAATATCTTTTATCTCTTCCAAATTGGCCATTTAAATATCCTATATACTTGAAATTACCAAAAACTGTCACAAAGTCGTTTTTTCTTACGGCAAGTCATTAATTTTTCTATCAATTTATTTAGAAAACGAATTGTTGATGGATCTTGTCAATTAAACCATCGTTAGTGTTAATGTTATTGATTATACGTTCCCATAACAATAAGTGACTGATAGCATAATGATTATAATTTTAAAATTATTAAGGATTAGAGTTCAGTATTATCGTAAACATTGAACTGCGTTGAGCTATATTATTATTGTTAGACGCAAACATCGCGGAGTGCGTTGTGTGGTTATCAAGTATCATTGCGATAGGGTCAAGGAGCAGCAGTTTGTTCCATTGACGTACCGGTAAAGTGCATACATAATATCGTGTATTGTGTTTTTACTACCAACGTATGCTTATTTCTTAGTTAAAATGAATGTTGTGAATGGAATAACATCTTTAATTAGACCAGCATTTTCGCTGGTAATGTCTATGGTAAATATTTCATTTATATTAAGCCAATAATTTCCTTTTTCCATTTTAAATATAAACAATTATTTTTGTTTTGTTTATACAAGTTTTTACTAAATTTTAACAACCCTAATATTTTTTTACATCCTAAAATATAATTAATGGGAAACATTCCACCAGCTACACGTTCATGCTAGCTGAATGGAAATTTTTTTGGAAAGAAAGCATGCTGAACTAGTATAAGGTTAGCGGATATTACGTGTTTTGTTAAAAAATTGACTTCTACTTTATATTTTGACTTGATAACGTTAATATAACAATGAAAACACTGATAATTTTGATTTCAAAACTTCCACAAAATTTACTCTTCTTCTTCGCGTGCCATATCAAATTTATCCGACGTTGGCGGTCACCATTGTGAAGGCTTCTCGATCTTCTGCAATATGAAATAGTTGTCCTGCATTTGGTGTCTGAGTCCATTCACGAATGTTTTTTAACCAAGAAACTTGTTTTCTTCCTACACCTCTACGGCCCTCTATTTTGCCTTTAAGGATCAGTTGTAAAATTTTATTATGACTTTCCCTTACTATATGTCCCAGATAAGACATTTTTCGATGTTTAACAGTCTTTAGCAGTTCTCTTTCTTTTTTGACGCTCCTTAGTACTTTTTCATTAGTTTTTCTTGCTATCCAAGGTATTTTCAGCATTCGTTTATGAACCCACATTTCCAATGCTTCAATTTTGTTCATGATCGATACTTTTAGCGTCCACACTTCTGCACTATACAAAAGTACAGACCTAACATAGCACTTAACCATTCTTTGCCTTAATTCTAAACTGAGATGGTTATTGCAAAGAAATGACTTCATTTTCATAAAAGTAGTTTTAGTCACTGCTATTCTAGATTTTATTTCTATGTCTGGATCTAGTTGGTCCGTTATCACAGTTCCCAAATATGTCATTTTGTGAACTTTCTCAACTTGGACTCCGTTCAATTGAAGCTTTGCATCGGGATGTGGGTCACGACTATAGTTTATTTTTATGAACGAGAGAGTAATTAGCATAATTTTAACTGGTACCTTCGACCACTCCATGGGCATGCTCAAGATTAATTGAAAAATTACTTTGAATAATTGTAAAAAATAAATGAATTATTTCAGTTTTATAAAGTGTTATGTGTATGTAAACAAAAGTGACCTCTTTTATCACACACTATATTAGAATTGACTGGCCTACATTAAAAAGGGTTTTAAAAAATTCACATTTTTTTTAATTTTTAAAAATTACAAAAGAGAAAAAGAGTTTTTAAAACCGTCTAAGGTATGTTAAATAGATGAATAAAAATATTAATATAAAACTTACAGCTACTTGTTACAAATCCAAATCAAATTCAGAAGATGAACTTTCAGAACCAAGATTTATAATAACTGGC